ATACACTTCACACAACACAACGATGGTCGCTCGGATTGAAAAGGAAGTAGAGGCTTCCACTGTGGGATTAAATCCATGTTTAATTTATCAGTTACAACGTGTTTGCTTTCAGTTCGACTTTCTCGAATTTTGAACTGTGAACAGCTTTCATTAAGTTGTCGATATGGAGCTGTATGTCTTCTGTACATCGCGACATCTTCCTTTATTGATTGAAAATGTCGTGCAACGATCGTTGTCGAACATGGCGTGACAAATTTGTCATCGATCAAATGTGACATAAAAATTTAATTTATCCTAATTGCGAATTTTTACGAGACTTTTCGTAAAAAAAAAAGACTTTTCACGCAAATTGCCTGAATACAGTGCATGCTGTACAAGGATTGCCGATTGGAATGAAGAGGAAACACAGGTAAAATTGATCAAATGCAACGTGTCATCCAGTAAACTCGACCAGCTTTCATTTAGTCGTCGCTATGAAGTTGTATGTCTTACGCTTCTCACAACAGCTTGGTTAATAAGTGTCAAGCAAATTGAGTAATGGTTGGTCATATTTCTGGCGTGACAAAATAACGTAACGTCAGTTAGACGGTGGGGTTCTGGTTTGAGATTTCTGGCGTGGGTATGGAGTGAAGTTGTACTATCGCCGCGATTTTTCTTCTATTCCCTCTAAATCTAAATAAACACGGTCTTTTTCGAATCAGGAAGTTTTCCTCAAGAACACAAATGATTAACGAGATAAAAAAATAACTAAAAAAAACGTGGATAAATAAATGGGTAATTACCCTATTGATTAAAGGGTGAATGATGATGGTGATCACCCCCTATCAAGTCACGTATTCTGTTATATTCCTTGGCTTCAGAAAGTTCAATCTGTAATCCATTCTCACAGACTCCCCTGGCCCCCTTCTGTTGTTGATTATTGATAAAGCTTAGATCAACATCTTTGCGATTTGCTTTGTTTTTGTTTTTGTTTTTTTGTTTTGTTTTGTTTCTTTGTTTCTTTGTAGATGGAGAGAGGCTCTGTTCGTGTTATAGCTTTAATAACAAGTCAATTGGTTACGCGTGGCCACAAGCAAATGGTAACTGTAAATACCACAAAGAACACCTTGTAGAGATGGAAACAGAGCAGGAATGGGAATTTATCAAAAACGCGATTCAAAACCGAGAAGGCAGTAAAAATGGAGAATGGTTTATTGGTTTGGAGATAAATATAACAACAAGAAATTGGTCTTGGGTCAACGGCAAACCTCTGACTATTGACAAATGGGAGAAGTCAAATCCTGACCCAAATGACTTTTACGGGCTGATTCACGAGGAATTTCCACCTGGATTTAAAGGATCTTTTAGCACCATTAATGGATACGTACAAAGAGGATGGATTTGTGAGAAAGAATCAGGTATTGATTAAGACCAGATAAAAGAAATAATTTTAGCTTCATCAAGCATTATTATTATGCATGAATCAGAATTAACTATAAGCTGCTTGCTTCCTTTCCCATCCCCTTTCTCTCCTTTTTCCCATCTTTCCCTTTTTGCCCAATGGGACCACCTCATACGAAGGCTCGTCATCTTCAGGGGAACAGTTCCCGTAATACCAGCCACTTTGATAAAAGTTAAGAGATATATTATGGGGAACTCCTAAGAAAATGTACTGATTCGTGGCTGGCTATGGGCAAGCTCGAGAAATAATACATCTCCGTCAATTCGAAATGCCACGCCACAAATGTCTACCTAGTAACAGTGTCAATTGTCATGTTTTTTTTTTTAACAGACAATTGTCAGGGAGTCTGTTTCCTCCATCCTGTTCCAAGAAGTACAAATCCTCCTGGAACCACAACTGTAACAAAAATTGTTACAACAAAAGGGAAGACGTCAACCGAACGGGATATCGCTGCTGTATCAGGTAAGATCGCTGATTGATTGACAATTTTGATTGATTGAGGATATATAAAAGAGCAACTTCCTAAGATTAGCCTAATTTTGTTTGTTTGTTTGTTTGTTTGTTTTTTTTGGTTTGGTTTTGTTTTGTTTTGTTTTTGTTTTTGTGTTTGTTTTGATTTGTTGTTGTTTGTTTTTTGTGTTTTTGTTTTTATCCGTTCCTGTTTCACTTCGACTTGTCTTTTCATGTTTTTGGTTTTGTTTCATTTGGTTGTTCTGCCTGTATGCTTCTTTGCTCGTCGTTGATGTTGTTTTGTTTTTGTGTGCGTGGCAGAGTTTAAGGGACCTCTTTGCATTTGATATTGATTTTCCTTCTTTTCGTTCTTTTGTACGCTTGAAGGTTGGACAGTCGGTATAGAATTTTGCCAGATCATTCAGGGGCACTATTTATGATTGGTATTACAATCTCTTGATATATCACGCCTAACATCATTAGAAATTTGAAAATACAAACGCATTTAATCCAGGATCTTCAACAACCGTGTTCATACCAACCACGGTAATCACAGATGACAACAGCAGTTCTGATAAAGTAATGATCATTGCCGCTTCCTCGGCAGCAGTGTTCTTCGTAGTGTTGATCATTCTCGTTGCATTTATGTTACTAAAGCGAAGGAATCGCCAACAAAAAGGTAAATACGTTCGATTTTTTTTACTTTTTTCTTACCTGAAATTTGTTGCAACGATACGATTATTTAGATATCACTACTTCATGGAGGCCATTTACTTCTTTAATTTCATTGGGTCTGTGAAAAGAAAACTGAAGATAAATCACACCATATAGCGGAATCAAAACAGAGATTTTTTTCAGAAAAAAAAATTTTTTTCCTCGGTTTTCAAATCATATTAATTGCCGATTGGATCCTTGGCTTAAACATAAGAAGCTGTTTTGTTTCCATAAATGGTAGGTATCACTACAGCTCAAATTTGACGTACCTGTATACCTTGGGGATGGAAATCATGATCTTCAGCCTCTTCCTAAAAGTCATTAACCGCAACTAATTGCCTTTGACTTTTCAGATTTTATTTCCTTTGCCGTTGTCGTACTTTTAAGCGCTGTCGTATGAAGAAGCAGCACTGAATATATGATAAGATGTTCGCCAAATATTGAAACTACAGGTTTACGGGTGATCATTAACATTGTTTAGACACAAATCTCTGCGATAACAGAAATATTCCGCTTTGTTTATGCCACTGTTATAGTGTGGCGAGAAACAAACTTGTCTGCTCTACATGCAGTGATAATCATGGTCATGTTTCCTAAATGTACATCTTTTTAGATGCAGAAAGCACAGTGTCGAAAGAATCATCGTAAGTGTCTATTTCTTTTTTCTGAAACGCTTTCCAACTGGTACTTATTGAATAGTTTCAGGTAAAACTAGCATTCGAGCCAGCGCTGAAAGTCATATCCCCTTGTTGTTATGATTATTGCTACTTCCTCCTTCCCTCGAAAAAATGCAATTCTATAGAAAGGTTACCCCTCCCCCCTCAGGTATCCCTTTTAAACGTGATCGCACCAATCTATACTCCTGGATGAATACAAGTAGTCTAAAGCATCTCTGCAAGCTCGAACCCAGACCTACAGATCCGAATCCTTCAGCATATAAACCCCGTATGCTCCACGTGTAACCAAACGAGTGTGCATGTTCTACTGAAGTTTACCTGAAAAAAGAAAACCGTAAAATTTGAGTCGAATCTAGGTTCAAAGTACATTGCTTAGAGGCGTTATCTCGTCTCATAACCTTGACAAGGTATTGGGGTTATCGCCAGGTAGAAGATAATACAATTGCTCGTTCAAGAGTTTTTACGTGGTCTATTTTTTTTCAAATTGTATAGAGCACGAAAACCCCTGATTTCTTTGAAGTTGGTTACCCAAACATCATTTAACAACAAGAGGCACTTGTGAAAACAAATTTAGACCGAGTATCTTCCAACAAAAGTGATATTCAAAGAGATATGTAAACAGCAACCATCACCGTTGTTGATGGGCAAGACTACCTCCCTCACCTACGAGCATGAAACAGAATGAGGAAATATCAACTCTGCACTAATCACGGCATTTGATAATAACAGAAACAAAACGTCTCTTTTCGTTTTCGCTGATGTGATTCCCATATATTTTACGGAAAAGGAAATTTGTGGATTTTTTTAACTTTTGTTTCGTTGTCTTACGGCTAGCAATCAGGGTATTTCCATTGTCAGATGCCATCTATAGCTAGCTTACTTTGTTTCTTGTTCTCTTTTTGTATGTTTATCTGTAACCTCTCACTACACAGAAATCAACACGACTTTCAAGACGGTTTCCCGTTGATTACTTTGAATGATTGTGCCCAGCCTAGTTTTTCCGCAAGAAATGAAACCAAGAACGAGAGGCTCCAAAGTCAACCGTCTGTCCAACGGGAGGGTGTATATACTGCACTGTGTCCTCAGTCAATGATGGTAACTGTACATAAAATGAGATGAAAATTATCCGATATGATCCAATTGTGATTTTTTGAAAAACAAACAATTGAATTAATATTTCTTAACCAAACTGTCTGGTTCGCAGACACCTGAAGGGAACGGTTCACGAACGTACGCGTCGCTTGATGAATCTACAAGAGAAGCCAAAATAATTGAGTATGAGAATTTATTTCATGGGTATGTTAATGCTTCACCATCAGAAAACTTGTCAAAAACTAAGGTGGATTGTTTGTTAGACATTTAGCGTTAATTCAGGATTATAAAGATGAAGTAAACCAAGTGTTGATAGCACTTAGATTTTGAGAGGAGTTCATTTCATGAGTGGCAATCGAGTCCGCAGTTTTCCTCCCTGCTCAAAAACCTATGTAAGCTTAAAATTCCGGTTGAAATCATTTCTCAAATTAGGCAACAGCTAACCTACGTTTGCTTCTTCTTTTTTTTATTTATTTATTTATTTAGGTTCCAACGTAAACGGTTTATCCCACGGGAGGAGGTACGTACCGAGCTGAGTCCAGAGTCAATAATGGTAATTACGCATAAAATGAATTCAAATCACCTAATATGACCCCCATATGATGATTCAACATTAAATTACAAAAAAAATGGAAAGAAAAAATTGCGATACGTAAAATTCCTTTATATATATATGTATATTTAAACATCGCAATTTCTCTTGTGAAACATCACATTGCCAGTTAGAGGTATCTCATTTGGAAACATGCATAAAGTTTAAAAACCATGTACTATTCTAAACTTTTAGCCGAATTTATGCCAGAAAATATATATTTAGTTAAACTATATTTTCACAAGATGTAATAAATTAATTGATGACCTTGGTGGTAAGCACAATAGGTCACAAAGACATGAATAGAAATGTTATTTAAATACATACATATTTTGCACGATCTGGAGAAAATAATGTCCCATATTTATACTTGACACGACCTAATTATTGCTAGGCTATGTTTCTGGTTTTGTTCAATTTTGTTATTGACAGTGGAGGGTTTAGTCAAACAAACAGCAAGTTACAAAGGAATCGAGAGCACAGCTCGATAAACCTTGCCTGTCAAGTCAATAAAACCATCAGTTTTCTCACAAGTAAAACTGGTTATTTTGCAGGCCCCAGAAGGCGAGGGTTCCCGAACTTACACATCTACGTGGGAAGACAGCGACATTGATTATGTCAATCAAATACCTAATCCTGAATACGTGAATGAAATACCTAGTCCTGGGTATGTTAATGTTTGAGTGGATTGTTCGTGAGACGGCTTGCGTTAATTTAGGATTAAAAAGCTGAAGTAAACAATGCAATAATAGTACTAATCCCAGCAAAGCCACAAAGGGAAAGAATTCCTGTTGACACTGGGTCAATTTAATTGTGGTTTCAGAAACCCACTTCGAAATGGACTGTAAATTGTGCTATTTTGGCGTCTAAACATTCTTCTTTGTTCGTGCATGCTGCCCCTGATGATGCGGAACTTGCTGTTACTAGTGCTTGGAACTCGTTGCAGATTCGCCATCAAATAACAACAACAATAATGATAATAATAATAATCATCATCATCATCATCATCATTATCATCATCATAATAATTATAATCATAATAATAACAATAATAATAATAATACTAATAATAAGAGAAAACAACTCAAGGCATTACTTCTATAGTAATATAGCTATATTAATTCGTAATTGTCATTATCAGTATGTTTTCAAAATGAAATTTTGCACGCGTAATAAAACATTACATACCAGTTAAGTTCCGTTGTACAATAGATGCTACAACCAAAGGAACAAAAAACATCAGATCATTCATAACACTGTAATCACTGATAGAAGGAAAACAATCGGAACAAGGCGAGGCAACTGAATCTGCACAAGTGCATATGTTTGAGAGCAGAGATGCGTGCATGATAGGTGAAGGAGCTCGCCTCCTTCCAGAAGACTCATAGCGTTGACATATCGATACTTGTTTTGACTTCGAGATTTTTTTAAAGGATCTTTAACAAAAGGCTGTAAGGTGATTGTTCCAGACCTCGTCAATTGTCCTCCCCCTTCCCACTCCCGGACTGCTCCCTAAATCCCCTTCTACAGCCAGTGCTGAAGAGTTTTATTACAGTTTTTATTATAATGAAGGACTGAAAAATAAACTAACACGAGCTTCGCTTTTAGGCTTGAATAAATCTTTATAATATCAAATATTCAAGGATCGAGTCGTTCTGCAGTTGTACGGTGAATTATCCCGGACATGTGGCCAATACAACTCCTATGGCCCTACGTATTATGTAGATATCTAATCCACACTCTACCCTGGAAGTTTTATCGCTGCATGACTTGACCACTTATCTTCATTTCTACTTTCTCAGAGCTTTTGTTGCTCGGAAAACTTAATAGACCTAGTTGCCTTGCCATTTCTTTTTCTATGGGTTACTTCATTGACCAATGCGTTCAAGTGATGCGAGCAATATTGCGCGCAGTGAAATTGAACTGAAATAGATAATACTTATGGATGATTAAGAGAAATCAGCTCCTCTTCCGATAATTCTAGATAGTTCGCTGCTTTTGAATCGAAAATTTTATGAGGTGTTTAAGGAACAGAACTGACGGAAGCGTTTTGTTTTCGATATGGCAAGTATTCCTGGAGCCATTTTTATGAACCTCGTGATTCAGTTTGTAAAACATTAACAGCAACACAAAACTTACAAAAGCCGGTTTCATCCCGCTAGTTCTGTTGTTCTAGCTAGCTACATTATCATTACCATCGCCCAATAGTAAGTTTTCTCTGAACATTAGTCAGTAACCATAACTTAAACGTAATTAGCCGCAATTTTATGTAGTGTTTTCCCTGCGGAAAACCTTCTTATTTCGGGAAAATAATTCAAAGTTGATTGAACAAATATGTGGCCGGCTTTTAATCGCGCTATTAGGAACAGAAAACAATCGTTTCCGGGTGTTAGTTGTGAGGGAAAAGTGACTGGAAAGCAACGGGAAATTTTGGATTGTCCTTTTAGAAAATGTTAGAGAGCGTTCGCATAATGCTGCTTGTTCCAAGAGCAAGAGCTTTTTTTCCGATGAGATGAACATCATTTTTTT